CTTGTGTAGAAAATGTTGCTGGTTCCCTTGGTGTTCTAGATTCTAAAGGAGAATATGTAAGAAATAGGTCATATCTTCATTTGTAGTCTATTTAAATAGCTTTATATGTTTCCCAACTAGACTATCAGAACAACATTCTGAGTGGTTTCCAAACATTTATTTTCTCCTCCTCCAATATATTATACACACTGTTGCCAGCTACAGCTTTCTTAATTAGCATTTTGCATAATTCCCTTCCTTCAAACCACTCATCATTGCTCACTGTTCACAGAATAAAGTCAAGGTCCTCTTTATTTTTCTACCAAAAGAGAGCTTCCACTCTCTTCTTATTTTCTAACATGAAACTTATAATCTATTATTTGAGCACATAATACATATTTCAGACTTGGTAGCTGTTTATACTGCTTCTGTTACCTTAGAATTCTCTTTCTGTCCTTTCTTGCTTATAATTTTAGTCCCTCCATTCTTTTCTGAATATTTTTACATTTTACAGTCATACTTTGTCCAACTGCCCAAGTCCACTGTGATCTCATCCTCCTCTATGTGCTACGTAGCATCTATGATCTGCAATCTTCTTCTAACATTTGTATCTTATTTATGTATTAGTGTGTGCCTGTTCCTTTCTCTAGCGTCTTAAAGGTAGAGATGTGAGGTATAATTCTTTATTTTTAGAGAGAGGGGAAGGGAGAGAGAGATAGAAACATCAAAGTGAGAGAAACATCGATTGGCTGCCTGCTGCACACCACCACCGGGGATCGAGCCTGTAACCCTGGCATGTGCCCTGACCGGGAATAGAACCGGGACCTCTCAGTCCGTGGGACAAAGCTCAATCCACTGAGCCACACCGGCCAGGCGGTATACTTCTTTATTATTGCAGCACATTTTAAAATGCTGGATAAATATCATCGATGATTAAGGTCTAGATTCTATATTTGCATATGACATTCACATTAAGATAACATGATGTAAGCTGATGATTTAATTCACTATTCCTTTGAAAAATAGCATTTATTTGTGGTGTTACATAGATTTCAAGTATTTATTTTTTTCTTCCTAAGACCACCAGTAAAGTTAAGCAACTTGGTCCTAAAAGAGATATTATTCTGAGACGTAAGTCCGACTAAGTGGGCTTTTAGTCAGACTCTCCAGAGTTCAGAGTCTCTAGTGATACTTAGCTTTAGGATATAAAAGATATATTGACCATTTAGAAAAGTTTATTATTCATCACCAAACCTTTATTAAATACTTTTTCTGTACTGAGTCCTAGCCATTGAGCAGTCGACATGTACACATGATATGCATAAACAGTACAGATGCACATAAAATAAGTAGCACTGGAAGGAACAGACTTTCATTTCGGATACTTGCCTCAGTAGGTATGATAGGTGTAGAGATTGGAATGACTTCTGAAGGGGAGCAATGTCTGAGCAAGCTTTGGAAACAAAGGAGGGCATTCTAAGCACAGGATTTAATGCTTAAAAAATGAGCAGGGAATGCCATCAAACAGAGAGGCCCCTTGAATATGGGAGGTTCATAGAGACACAGGCAGGAGCTGTGTGTGGCCAGGGTATGGAGGGCCTCGCCTTCTGTTCTGCCCATGGTCTTTATGATAAGGCATTGGGAAATTTTTTCAGATTTTGGAACAGAGGATAGATTGATTATTGGGAAGTGAAGCTGAAAAATTGGATGACATGGAATACAGAGTTTGAAGGCAAAATGAATTCGTTCTCTTTGACTCATCAATATTCTTTATCACATTTTATTATATTCTTCGGGATACTTGGGATTATCTGAAATTTTGTGTTTACTTGTGTGAGGCCTCTCTTTCTCAGTGGTATACTAAGATTTGATTTTTTTCTGCCTGGGTATTTTTCAGAATGAAGCATTTTCATTTCTTAGAATAGCATTATAAAAGTGCCAGTTTTTGCTGATTTCTATTTCCCTAAGTTACATTTTAAAAGCTAAAAATTTTGTGTGAAATATTTTTTGTGTAAAAGTACAGTTTTTTTTTTATTATAATGCCATTCTTTTAATGATTTTTAAAGGTGGCATTGGTCTCCTAAGGCTTATTAGTATGCAAAGATGCTCAGACCTACTCCACTGTACCAATTTATGATGTTATTGTACATTTTTCTTTGAAAGTCAGTGATGCGTACTTCCAGGAACACTGTGTATATTTCATGTGACAGAGACTCAGATCTGAAGTCAGGGCTCCCGTTGCCTGCGCTCTGTTTTCCTTTGGGTGCTGGAAGCGAAGCCGTGAGGCACCATCCCACACGACTGAGGGGCGTAAGCCGAGCACCCTGTGTGTTCCTCCGGTAGACAGCGTGTCACTTCCTTTCGCCAGCACCCCAAGTCCTCTCCCTCCGCAGGTCTCTGTGCATGCTGCTCCCTGGACCCTTCGTTCTCTGGCTCTGTTCAGGGATGGCGCTCATCCTGGGGACTTGAGCGCCACTGTCGCTTCACCTGAGAGACCTTTTACGGCCCTGCCATCCACGCAGGTCCTCCTGGCTTTCTGTGATGCCATTCCATGCAATTTTCCTCAGTGTGTATTTTAGCTTTTAATTATTTTTATGTATTTATTTGGTTGTTTATTATGTCTTCCCACTAAAAAACCAGCTCCTCAACTGCAGAGACCTTGGAGATTAGCTCACTTCTTGCTATTAGGGGTTCACTAAATACTTTTTCAGTGAATTATAATGAATTACATCTTATTTAACCATCCAAACTTTAAAAGTTTGTAACTCTTTTCATTGAACATATTCTAAAGCTATGCTGTATAATTTCCTGCCTACTGAGTACAATGCAGTCCTAGGCTAATCATTATAGTGATCAGTTTTTGTACTGTGGACTAGTAAAATGATGCCCTTAAGGTTTGTACTTTATGCTAAATGACCTCAGATTATAGCCCTGTTCATATTTAGCCCTCTTAAATATATATATTTTAATCACCACAATATTGTGTGCTCCTTGTTAGTTATAAAAGGGTGTGCACTGAACAGCTGCCTTCTCTCGCCCCGTCTCCCCTGCAGCCTTGGCCTCAGGCAGCCTCTGTCACTCCTTTGTATTTTATTTTGGTGATATTTTTCATATCTCTAAATGCTAATCTGGTCATTGCACTTCTCTGTTGTCATAGTTGATAGCATTTAAATTCTGTACTATAACTGCAATTACATCTGTGCTCTATATATTCAGAAAGCTGAAAGGTAATAAGCAGCATTTATAGTACTTCCACATAGTGTTGACTGCAAAGTAGTAGGTTATGATTGTATTTTCTTTTCTACAGTGCCATTGTTTATGCCCCTGTCCCACTCAATTGAAAATGTTCAAAATAATTCACTGTTTTCATCATCAATTAATCAAGATTATAATACATTTTAATTTACTTCATGTTTAAACCATGCCTTTCATGTTCATTTCATTGTCATTTTTTGTTCGGTGAATTTTATTGAACTCTGTCTTCTAATACTGGTATTTAATTTGAACAGTCATATTTAAAATTTATAAGTGTTCTCTCATTTTATTTCTGCCCTCTTTACATGACATTGTTCTTTGTGTGTGTGTGTGTGACTACATTTGGGATAAGCAGTCTGCCATGGGCCCCAAAGCATCCCTGCACGTGCTCACTGGGTATGTCAAGAGTACAGAGTTGTGTGTGCAGGGGCAAGCCTTACTATGAACACAGTATGTCCCTCAAACTCAGTATTCCTCTTTGGTAACACGGTCACTTGTGTGTGCAGGCATCCACAAAGGACCTTTCATGTCACCCTGGGAGACTTGGGGGCACAGGGAATTGATGCAAACGAACACAAAGTAATGCCCTTTGTCTCTGATCCAGGAGTCTCATGTCTTCTGCAATCAGCCATGAAACAGTAACCAGCTAGCTTGTTAACAAGATAAAAGCTCAGACCCAGCATCTCTGCTGCTTCTGGTCCAGTATTTTTCCTAGCTTTGTCTTCATTGCAGTCTCCTTTGAGAGTAGCTTTCTCCATCAACACTTTTACACTAACTTGTTTTCCAGATATTCTTGAAATCTCTTATCTGCTGCTGCCTTTCACTTCAAGGCTTTTTGTTATTGTGGAAGTATACTTTTTATTTCTTTAATTCTATTTTAAGGAGAGGGACTCCTCAAAACTCCTGTGTATAATCAGTTTCTACTGTATGGAAGAAGAACTTTCTTTTTATTAGTTTTAGCAATCACTTACTGGTTTTTATTCGATTACTGTGTTTACTTACATCCTTCCAGCAATACCATTTCACTGTTCCTATTCCATCCTTACACCTAAATCTAGAACTTCATTATCTGGGAAATCAACACATAGTCCCATAGAAATTAATTTAAAATAGAAGTAAATGTACTCTTAGAGGAGGGCTTGTTTGTGCCATTTGCTTCTTTGTGCCTTTATGCTTACTTTTAGATTTGAGTGTATGTGCATTTTTAGATTAATGGAATATACAAAGGTGCAGTATAACTGCATTTACAATTTTAAAATGTTCTCATGATTATTGTTTCTCTGTTAAACTGAATTGCACGTATTCTTGAAAATAGCTTTATGCCTCTTACTAAAAGTTATCAGGAGATTTAAATTATATATAGGAGATGCTGCAAAATTATTTTATCCTCTAGAATAAAAGTTGTTAAACTTTTTAAAGTGCCAGGGTGGGCTTTTGGCGCACACAGTTTCAGTTACGACTTTTCAGCTCTGCCCTCACAGAGCACAGTAACAGCCCGGCAAAAATATGTCAGTGAATCACTGTGGCTCCATAGCAGCAAACCTTTATTTATGAACACTAAACTTTGAATTGTATATAATTTTCACATGTCATGGAGTATTTTACCTTTTTACTTTCTATAGCCATTGAAAAATATAAAATGTATTCTTAGCTTTCTCTCCATGCAAAACCGGTCAACTCTCTCCCTGGCATTACCTGTTTTGTTAACAGCTTTGCTGATGCTTGAATACTGACATGTTTCCACTCTGCTCCATTGTTCCTATCAGGCAGGCTAATGAAGAATTTCAAATACTGGCTAACTCCTGGCGCTATTCATCTGCCTTTTGTAACAAACTCTTCTTCAGCATGGTGGACTATGATGAGGGGACAGACGTTTTTCAACAGGTAAAAATTATATTTTATTTTGCTCATATATTTAATAGAGTTGGTTATGGTTGACACAGTTTTGCTTGCTAGATACAAATAGCATTTATTGACTAAGTTAAATACAGTAGTACTTATAATAAATTATTCGCTGGGATTCAGATACAGCTAATGTCATGTTTATCACTGAACAGTGTTTGCCATCAGTGAGCACAATAAACTGGTCTAGCTTCGGGATGTGGAGAAAGTGGCAGTTTATATGCATTAACCTGCTTTTGCTATTTAATTGTATGTGGTTTAAGGAAGTATTGTGCATAAATGTATGAAATTTTATCTAAAATTCAATGTAAGTTTTACTTAACCTTTACTTCTTCCCCTATGGCAAATATACATAACTTAATATACAAAATAGTATATGTTTATTGAAAAGTGTTCTCTGTTGTGGACAGAACTGTGTCCCTCCCAAATCCATATGTTGAAGCCATAACCCCCAATGTTACCATGTTTGGAGATAGGGACCTTAAGGAGGTAATTAAGATTGAATGAGGTTGTAAGGATGGGACCCTAACTCAATAGGACCTCATTTAACCTTATTACCTCCTTAAACGGATGCCTACGGAGGACGGCACTTCCTAGATCTGGTGTGTAGGAAGACTCCAGGAGTGCATGTGCACAGAAAGAAGGCCACGTGAGGACACAGCAGGAAGGTGGCCATCTTCACACCAGGAAGAGGTCCGACTAGCAATAAACCCTCCTGCAACCTTGATCTCAGACTTTCAGCCTCCAGGACTCTGTGGAAGTAGGTTACTGTCGTTTGAACCACCCATGTGTGGTATTGTTACAGCATCCTGAATGGACCGCTACATTGTCACTTATGGTCTTCTCCTTGGAGCAAGGTGTTGAACTGTGGTACAAGAATGCTAGTTGTCATCAGCTTTGTCATGGTTGTGTCACCATCATTGCTAACGTCGAGTATTTGCGTTCCAAGGACTCTTGTCAGTGCTTCGTGTCTATTTCATTTCGCTTCACAGTGATCCACTGAGAAAGATGTTTTCTCTGTCTCACAGACAGGATGTGAAGGCGTGGCGAGGTTAAGCCACTGGTCTGAGGCCGTCACGTTAGCGTGCGTGGAGCTAGCATTTGAGCTCAGCTCTCTGGCTCTCCGAGCTCCAGCTCTTGCCCTGCGGTTATTGATGTTTGTATTAATCATTGCTCGGTCAGTGCTTTCAAATGTAAAACTTGCTGCAGTACCAGAACTGATTAGTTTTGGGGTGTCTCAGTCTAATTTCTTTTTCTCACATATGACACTCTTTGGCAAAATGTTTTACCAGGTCATGGAAAAGCATTTAGTTCTGTAAAGAATCTAGCTCACTAACTGTAATGGCTCATTAGTGAGTATTTTGCTTGTTTGCCTCCAGATTGATTATTTATTCATCTTTGCCAGTTTCTAGTTGAATAAGATAAATTCTCCCCTTTGTGTTCAATACCCTTTACTATTGGTCTTTCTTTTAGTATTCTTCACTTATATCTCCCTCCATAAATTTATTTTGTCTTTTGGGGATGTTTATTTTTGTTCGTCTATTCAGCAAATATTATTGAATGCCTATTCTTATAGGAGCAATTAATTGGTGAGAAAAGCATACAATTCTTCCCCATAAGAAGCTTATAGTCTAGGGTGCTAATAATAATACTAATATCATAATAAAAACACATAAAGATGTAACTTCACATAACCTTACAAAGGAAAATTACTGTGCTATAAGAACCAAATAGTCTTTCCTGTGATTTATAGGTCACCATAGAATTTCAGAGCTGGCCTTAGAGGTCATCAGATGGAAGTGCTTGCTATTCATTATATGTGTGACTCCTCTCTACCGTATTAGGAAATAGTCAGCCAGGAAAGAAATAGTCATACAGCAGAGAAAGTAGGTTGGATTAGTTTCATTTTGTTATTATGTCTTTGTTTATGTACATACTTAGTATATTAAACACATTAGTTCTTCACTTACACAAGTAAATATTCTCTCTCCTATATTTATTACAACAAAGTCTTTCTTAGTCTTTTAAAAAAATAAATCTTTACTGGAACTACTCATATTTCACTGTTCTAACTACAAAATCAGCAAAATACCATGCATCCGATCCTCGGTCTCACTGTTGAGCAAACAGTGTGGTGTGGGGGGGACCGCAGCAACCGAGGGGACGCTCTTGACCTCGGCGAGCAAGGCACAGCTTAGCTCTAGATGGAAGAAATGCAAGCCACGCGCAGCTAGATGCTGTTTTCAAGAAGGGATCCAGATATGAGTTCCTATAAATAATTTGTCTATCTTTAAAATGTGGGCAACTAATTTAAACAAAACAAAACTATGGGACCAGGTAACCCTATCTGGTACTGACTATGGGCTGCTGGTATGTAATTATAGACCAATATTGTTAGATATAATCATTGAAATCTTTTATACGCTTGAAGCATTTTTTTTTTTAAGTTTAGCATACATAGATAAGAGTTGAAGTCAAGATTGTTTTAAACTGAAAAATTTCCTCAGGTTAATTTTGATTCAGCAGAATCACGAATGTAGAACTGCTCCGTCTTTCCCAAACCTAGCCCCTGGCTCGCAGTACGCGTGTGCATTTCTAAGTGCAGAAATGCATAAAAGTTAGAGCAGTTAATGACTTTTGCGGTGAATTATAATCCACAAAAAATGGAAAAGTATATATTTTGTTTTACGCGAGACCCACTAGATGATTTTTAATGCTTATGTTTTCTGTCGCACTCACTATTGAACCCCACCTGAAGTACTCTCTAATGATGTGTTAAAGCACGGTCAGCATCATTGTGGCGTCGCAGTGCAATATTAATAACAAGTGCAGAACCTGGCAGTTCCTGGCGCGCTGGGGACGTGTTGGGCAAGTAACTGCAATTATGTGTGTTTCCCGTGTGGTGGCTGAGGCTGAGGTGCCTGACAGCAGGCCAAGGAGCTAATGAGCATGGTGCACTAGAAGGAGTCAGGCCTGTGCTGGACCCTGCTTCGTTGTAGCCTTGAGGGATTTGTACATTTTAATTAAGATGAAAGCTTTGAATTATACGACTTTTTTTACTATAAAATTCTAGGACGATAAGCCTAGCATGGGTGTTCTGAGCGATCCACTGCAGGGACTTCCTCTCTGGAAATCTTACGTTTCCATGTTGCCTGTAACCATCTCTTAGGTATCTGTCTGTCAGGGACACACACACGAACACAGCCCAGGGGGCGGAAACAGGGACGGAAGGAACTGGTGGCTGTGTTTGTTCCACTTAACAAACAACGTGTGTAACGTGGAAGCTGCTGCGGGTGCTGCTGTGTCCTTACCTGGATGTGCACGCGGTCTTGTGGGGATGCTGGGCGACACTGCAAGGCAGGCCCAGTCATCTGGTTTTCCGTTTGTGACCTTTCTCGTAATTCTTGAGCAGCAAGAATTTAATCTGTACGTAGTTTTGCAGTTTACTTCTCAATGCAAAGTAATCAACTCTTTGTTTTTAGATATATTGTTAATAAGCTCCATTTATTCTACACTAGTATTCTGTCCCATACACTTTTCAAATAGAAATTGACATTAGAAAATAATAGTGTGATATAACTATTTTGAGACAGTTGAATTAATAGAGAAGTCGAACATTGAGGATTTCTGCTTCAGTCAGGTAAATTCAAGATGTTTAGAGCAAAAATGTTGGCTTCTGTTATAGTCATCATCATTTTTTATAAGTTTTAAAGTTTAATAGAGAAGTCAATCACTTATAATTTGTTTGAAATTAATTTTATAATATATTTATATTGTTTATCAAATGCAGTACTTTCTCTTTAATGACTGCTCAAGAAGTGCCAAATTACAATATTTCTGTTTTGTACTTTGAATTACTTCATTTTTTACTCTAATTACAGAATTTAAGATGTAAAAAGAATGAAATGGCTGATACAATATAGAGGGTACAGCTGAGAATATGAATGATGTATGTTAAATATGAAGGTCCAGCAAACAGCCTAATTTATACATTCTTTTTTATTCAGTAGACATTAAGGTGAATAAAACAGTAGTTAAGTTCTGAAAAGCCACTTGGGTTTTCATAATAAATGCTATCTTTCCAAAATTCATGCAGAAAAAACATGAAATGTTAGATTAATGACATATGAAGACTGCTGGGATGATGTTATATTTAGTATTTTTTGTCTCGTGTTTTGCAGCTCAACATGAACTCTGCTCCTACATTCATGCATTTTCCTCCAAAAGGCAGACCTAAGAGAGCTGATACTTTTGACCTTCAAAGAATCGGATTTGCAGCTGAACAACTAGCAAAGTGGATTGCTGACAGAACGGATGTTCATGTATGTTTTTATTCCCCACAGTTTTAATAATAGGCTAATTAGCTTGGTTTGTTAGAGCACTGTAATAAGGCCACAGGATTTAAAACTTTTTTCTCTATGCAGCATTTTTTCTTACAGAAAACTGTGTGATAGCTAAAAGTTAGGTCTGTAGAATAATGATGCTTTTAAGAACTATTAAACTGTATGGGAGTTAGGCACAAGGTAATTTCAGAGGCTAAAAAATACACTGAATATTGCTCAGTGGTATTAATAGTCTTAGAAACTCTAATTAAAAAGCAATATATATTTTTTAATCTCTTTTGGGCAAGTAAAAATGGGATAACATCCTCTTTTCATGAGCCATGTGAGAAAATGCCACACACACATAAACTATTCTAACAGTAGGTGTTGTATCTTTACATTATGTAATTTAACTAAATAATTCCACTTCTAGGAATTTAACTTAGGGATAATCAAGGATGAGTTAAATTACTTAGCCATACCATTATCTTTCAGGTGTACAGTTTTATAATACATCATTTGTATATTGCATTGTGTGCTCATCACCCAAAGTCTAGTCTCCTTCTGTCACCTTATATATGACCCTCCCTATGCCCTTCCCTTCTGGTAACCACCATAGTGTTGCCTGTGTCCATGAGTGTTTGTTCTATTTTATATCCCATATATGAGTAAAATTATATGGCTCTTGTCCTTTTCCATCTTACTTAGCATGATAGTCTTAAAATCCATTCATTTGTTGTAAATGGCAACATTTAATCCTTTCTATGACTGAGTGTAGTATTCTATTGTATATAGATACTGTATTCTGTTTATCCATTCATCAGTCTCATGACACATAGGCCGTTTCCATGGCTTTGCTATTGTGAATAATGCCGCCGTGAACATAGGGGTATGTATATCTTTATGAATAAGTGTTTTCAAAATTTTCAGGTAGATACCCAGAAGAGGGATTGCTGGGTCATGTGGTAACTCTAGAGGCTGCATCAGTTTGCATTACCACCAGCAGTAAATGAGAGAGTTCCCCTTTTTCCATATCCTCTCCAACACTTATGTGTGAACTGGTATCTCATTGTGGTTTTGATTTTCATTTCCCTTATAGCTAGCTAGTGAAGTTGAACATCTTTACATATATCTGTTGGCCATTTGTATGTCTTCTCGGGAAAAGTGTTCAGGTCCTCTGCGCATTTTTTAATTGGATTGTTTTTGTGTGGTATGAGTTCTTGATATATTCTGGAAATTAGCTCCTTATCTGAAGTATCGTTTGCAAATATCATCTCCCATTTGGTTGATTGTTGTGTTGATGATTTCTGTTGCTGTGCAAAAGTATTTCAGTTTGATCTAGCCCCATTCATTAATGTTTTCTTTACTTTCCTTGCCTTTGAGGTCAAGTTCCCAAAACCCCTCTGAGACCAAGGTTCATAAGTTTAGTTCATCTGTTTTCTTATATGTATATTATTGTTCCAGGTCTCATATTTAAGTCTTTAATACATTTTGAGTTAATTTCTGTGTATGGTGTCAGCAGTCTAGTTTCATTCTTTTGCATGTGGCTTTCCAGTTTTCCCAAAACCATTTATTGAAGAGGCTTTCTTTTCTCTATTGTTTGTTTGTGCCTCCTTTGTCAAACCCACACACATATGGGCAAACAGTGTTTTATTTCTGGGCTCTTAATTTCATTCCATTGGTCTGTGTGTCTGTTTTTCTGTCAGTACCATGCTGTTTTGATTATTGTAGGTTTTTAGTAAAATTTGAGGCCAGGGAATATAGTGCCTCCAGCTGGTCTATTTCAGGCTCATCTTGCATCCACCTGCCTACCAGCACTCAGTTAGCCATCTCTCCTTGGAACCTTGGTTTCTTTCAGTGGTGAATGTTATTGGAACCAATATCTGTACATACTGTGAAATCATGAATTCATACCAATTATGTCTACTGTTGAAAAATAGTCTTTATACTTCAATGCACATTATATAATGCACATTTTTATGAAAGTGAAAAGACAACTCACAGAATGGGAGAAAATATTTGCCAATTATGTTTCTTATAATGTATTTACATCTAGTATATATATATATAGGGCTCTTACAACTCAATATATAAAGATCACAATCTTAAAAATTGGGTAAAGGATCTGAATTTCTGTAAGGAAAGTATACAGATGTCCAATAACTGCATAAAATGCTGCTCAACATCATTAGTCATCAGGGTAATGCAATTCAAACTCACAATGAGATGCCACTTCATACCCTTCAGGGTGGCTGAAATCAGTGAAAATGTTGGCAAGTGGAGAAATTAGAGCCCTCATACACCACTGGTGGGAATGCAAAATATTGCCACCACTTTGGAAAACAATTTGGCAGTTTCTCACACCATTAAGCATAGGGTTACCATGGGACCCAGCAATTCCACTCCTACATGTATACCTGAGAGAAATGTAAACATATGCCCATACACAAAAAAACTGTACAAGAATGCTTATAGCAGCATTATTCACAACAGTCATAAGATAGAAACGACCCAATGACCATCAACTGATTAATGTGTAAATGAAATGCACATAGTGGAGTATTCACCCATGAAAAGAAATGAAGTATTGACACATGCTACAACAAGGATGAACCTTGAAAACATTATGCTAGGGAAAGAAGCCAGTTACAAAAAACCACAATTATATGAAAGTCTGGAATAGGTACATCCATAGAGACAAAAAGTGTATTAGTGGTTGCTTAGGGCTGGAGGGTAAAAGGAATAAGGGAGTGAATGCCAAGGGGTACGGGACATCCTTCTGAAGTAATACACATTTTCTGGTACTGACTGTGGTGATGGTTGTACATATCGGTGAATATGCTCAAAACCATTGAATTGTATACTTTGGGTAGTGAATTGTATGGGATGTGGATGATAGCTCAATAAGGCTGTTTTTAAGAAGCTGTTTTTTAAAGTCCCAATTTGAAATAATATAGATATTATACTCTTATCTCACCATTACTCTTTACCAGATGACCCCATGTTCCCTGGATTAATCAGAACAGCTCTGGGTTGAATCTAAATAGGTTTTACATATGTTTAACTGTATTCACCTAAAATGAACAGCAAGACTTTTTACATAACCATGATGTTTTAAAGTATATATATATATATATATATATATATATATATATATTTTTTTTTTTATCCTCAACCGAGGACATTTTCCCATTTTTTTTTTGTTCAGGTAGAGTGGGAGGGAGAGAGAGGAACAGAGAGAGAGAGAAACATCGATGTGACAGGAACACATCGAGTGGCTGCCACCCACACGACCGACCAGGGCCGGGGACAAACTGCAACCGAGGTACGCGCCCTTAGCGGGAACCGAACCCGGGTCTCTCAGGACTGCAGGTCGACGCTCTAACCGCTGAGCCAAGCCGGCCAAGGCAGTATATATTTTTTGACTTGTAAAGAGTAAAAGAAATGTTAGTGCCAGGTATAAAAAGGTGGCCCTCTTCTAAAGAAATTATTGGTATTGAAGATTGGAAGGACTTAGAATAAGGTCAAGAGAAAAAAATTAATATATTTCTTTCACTTGAAATTCTCATGGCATTTTTGCAGATTCGCGTCTTCAGGCCACCCAACTACTCTGGCACCATCGCTTTGGCCCTCTTAGTGTCACTTGTTGGTGGTTTGCTCTATTTAAGAAGGAACAACTTGGAGTTCATCTATAACAAGACTGGTTGGGCCATGGTATCTTTGGTATGTTATCACACTATACTTTTTTCCCTATTTCTTGTAAAATAGCCTAAGTTGTATAACGTTAACAAAGTGAATCTGATTATTACTATAATGGAAACACACTGCTCCCTGTCTTTCAGTGCATAGTCTTTGCGATGACTTCTGGCCAGATGTGGAATCATATCCGTGGACCTCCATACGCTCACAAGAACCCGCACAATGGACAAGTGGTAGGTGCACGTCCTCAGCATCAATATTCTGAACTCCAATTCTGCTTGTTAGGAATCAGAAATTACGTTTAGTATTTAGTAGGAAAGGGGTGTATTCGTAAATCTATGTTCTTCCTCATTTACTATCTCTGCCATATACATACATACATGCAAACACACACACATTGGTTTTTTAGTGTCAGGACTGTTGTCGTTTGTTGCTATTGTTGTTTTTGTTACTCTTCATCTGAGGATATTTTTCCATTGATTTTTAGATTGGGGGGTGGTGAGAGAGAGACTGATTAGCTGCCTCCTGCATGACTCTGACCAGGGCCAGGGACCAGACCTCAACGTGCCCCTGACCGGAATCAGATCCACGACCGTTCAGTCTACAGGCCTAATGCTCTAACTGCTGAGCCAGACTGGCCAAGGCAAAGTAATCATTTTTTAAAATATTCAGCGTATTTGTAATGTTGGTGACTTTACATATTCATATGTTAATTGTAGAATAAAACCTGTCTAGATGAATCTAAAATTCTACTGGAGTAAGTTTTACTGTATTGAATGTAAAATGTAAATTAATACAGGGAAGGTAAGGAAAACAGATAGTGCAGGCGGTATGGTGCTGTGCTGATTTACAAGTTTGTTTGTTTGTCACTGTTAAGATGCTACGTAATGACACAAGTACTAATGGTCCATTTAACAGCACAGAAGTCATCACAAAAGCAGTCATTACTGAGTAGCTAAAAGGGAAACTATACAACTGTATAGTTACTTGGGGCATAAAGATATTTTCTGTTCTTAAAAAAACAAATCATCTTCAATGAATTGCATTCAATGAGATAAAGCTGATACTTAGGTTATAACTCCCAATATAAATAAATGCATTTATTTTTAAGATGTGGCTTTTATATTCTGCCTGAAGATTGCTGTGGGTTTACCAAATATAATCCAAAAGTTTTCACTGTAATGTAGTTTATTTGCTAATCGAGTTAAGAGCTTGTTCTATGTGCAGTGTAAAAACATTTTATTGCAAAATGGCATGTAGCTTAAGCTAGAATTTATCATTAATGAAGCACTTTTTCTGGCTCAGGCAGCCATTACACGTTCATGCCTCGGGGTTTTTTCATAAACTTGCTCTTTGAGGGACATCTCTTAGTCATAAATTGAAAATTATATAGGCTTATTTAAGCTAAATAAAATTATTTTGTATTAAAATATTTACAGAGATGTTCACTACTTTTATTGCAATCTTCATACCATCAGCAAAGAGAATGTTAACATGTAAGGGAAATTTTTAAACAAAACATTAGAAAGACAATAATTAATACAGTGAAGATATGCAGAAAGCTTATGGTGGAGTTTGCTATTGAGTTTCTGCCTTTTGATTTAGTCATTGATTTTCATCCAATAAATATATGTTGAGAGTCCATTAAATTCCCGGTACTAGTTTGCCCTAATAGCACAGATACGGTACGGAATGCCGAGACTAGTGGAGAGAGATGGGATGATATGCCCACAGCTCGGCCATTAAAGCCTGGCCACACTGCACTGCTGTTAGAAGCTGGAATTGTTTTAGAATTTTGTTTCAGTACCATGGTCACTTTGTTGCTAGGACTCTGCATCTTACCTCTTGCAAGTTTTGCCTTATCTTTCTATTCCTTTTGATATTTATAATGTTTTGTCTGTCTGGTTGGCCTTTGGTAAATCCTTGCCTTTATCTCCAGCGTGTTGCTGCTGCTCAGCACCTCCCCGCAGCCTGGTTTTGGCCTCCATCTTCACAGTTGCCCACATGCTCTCTTGATCCTGCACTCTGACTGATCTTGATCACCAATTTTTGTAGCCAACCCAAATAGCTACTCTACTTTCTTTCAGTTGTTGTTGCCTGTGATCCTGGCAGTTAATTAAGAAGGATTTGATTTGTATTCTTACCTCCTAAGAAAGCATTTCACACATGATAAATATTAAACAATAATAGCTGAACAGATGAATAAATCTTTGCAACTAGGAACTCGTTATATTTTCAGCATTTCAAAAATGTTAAGTATACCTAGAGGGAAAGAAAATGTTTTCTCTCCCAAGGTTTGTTTGTACTTTGTAATTAAAACCTTGGAAGCATATACACAGCAGGATTATAAAACTAAAAATGAACATGTGATTTAACATGTCAAACTTAATCTGATACAGTTAAATATTTGCTCCAAAAATCCAGAATAAATGTGACTTCAGAGGAAAAAATGGAAAACAAAGAAGAAAAGAAGAATTGACCTCCCAAAGAGAAAGGGATAAATTACTTTTTAACTGGTTCATATTGTTCAAACTTTTTCGAATTTTGGAAAATTATTTTGTACATTGGAAAGAATAATGTACTAAATAAACCCCTGTGGTCTTTAAAAACCAAGGAAATTATTCTCATCCTATCAAAATAATTTAATTATATTAACATAATTCATAATAAGCATATACAGTCTAGTTTTAGAAAAGCATTTTAAAGTTATATTTGCTACAACTTCAAATAAGACCATGTACATTTTACTAACTCACAGTATTCCTTGTTCAATGCACGTTTCTCAAGCATCATTATATTTTGAGTCTCTGTAATGCTAATCAATGATTTAAATACAATTTTTATAAACTTGGATAGAATTATCTTTAAAAATAATCACTTAAGTATTTATATTATCTGCATAACCTTTAGATGAAAAGATTAAGAGCTATGAATAAATTCATATAACATTTAAAGATTAGGTTACAGTAGAATAAGTTTTAGTGAAGTAAGGGGCCAAATATATGGTGATGGAAGATGATCTGACTTGGTGTGGTGGCAGTATAGTGTGTAGTATACAGATCGTGTATCCTAGAATTGAAACCTATATAATTTTATTAACCAATGTCGCCCCAGTAAACTTAATTAAAAAGAAAAAGATTAAAATAAATGTCATTTAAAAAATGTTTTAGTGTTTCTATATATTTAAGGATGTTTCCCCCCCATAAGGTCTTAAACACTACATGTCTTACATATTTATCAAAACAGATGAAAATATATTATTAAAAAAAAAAATGCCACAGTATGGTTTTTTAGGTTGTAGGCCAAATTATGCTTTAGTTATAAATGACTTCTAAAATTTCAGAATAATTAATAATCCTAAATAAAAGAAATGATAGACTTGGAGAAATTTTGCATCAATCATGCTGAATATTTTTAAATAACAGTAGATCTACCTGCCTTTTCCCTTATTTTTCTCTCACCCATTTCCTTCCTCTCCCCAGATATTCTTACATTTTGCGGGTCATTTTAGCTAGTGGCCTAAAAAGCATGTATTAGAATGGTATGCAGGTAGAGTAATGAGTCTTGTGTATTTTATTTTCTGATAATTTTGCTTTACAGTGAACAGATAATACATTTTCTTTTATTACAAGTAATCTTGCAGTGCATTCCTTCCCCCATACACTCATAAATCCATCTTCCTCCCGGGTCAGGTGCCACTTTCTGATGAAGTAGTTTCTTTATGACCTTGGAGGAATATAAAGCTCTCTTACTGTGAATGGCCATGGTCGCTATTTGTCTTATTTATTCCTTTCAATTTCATATTATATCTTTATTTGCATAATCAGGTCCACTAAAAAAAAATGGAATGATCTTGACCACAGAATCAGAATATTCATTTTTTATAGACTTCTTTATAAGACTATATAGACTTACAAGTATCTGTACTAAAGTTGAATCTATTTGAAAGGATTTTGACTTATCTAGAAGATATTTAATTTGGATTTACCCCAAACTGTGTGTTGAAATACAGAGTTAATATAGACCATAAAATGTTTTGGAACAATTTTTAAATATCACATGCCTCTACTCTAACTTATACTCTATTATTTTATCCCTGAGTGTAAAAACAGTTTTTTTTTTAAAACTATTGAAATTTATAATATTCTAAAATAAGCCCCATTCTTAAAATTAATTTTATAATGGATGTGTTTGCAGAGCTGCTGTGGAGGTAATGCAAAAAAAAAGAAATACTTTAATTCTCTCCCGGAGAAGCAATTACTATGAGAAGCAACCCTTTACTTCTGCCAAGAAATAAAATGATTGTGTCCTACCTCAAACCTTGCAAGAATTAGTCAAAAGCTCTAAAAGTTAGGTAACATTAGAGTTTTCTTTCGCTGAAAGAATGAAAACAATATTTTAATAATACAAGGAACATTATGAAATAAGTAGTCACTATACATTGTGTCTGTAATTTGATTTGCAGTTTATGTACTTACTGAATCTTTAAGTTACAGCTTCAGGTTCCATATGCAAACTGTCCATCTCGAGGAACGCTTTGCTCATGCTTTGAGACTGCATCACCCTTGTGCTCTTTCTTTGAGATACATATCTGTCTGGGTCACTTTATTTGGATATGCAAACTGATACCTGCAGCTTAATCTCATACACTCAGCTATACGGGATCAGTGATGGTAAATGCTTTTTTAAAAAGTGAATAGTGTCTGCAAGTGTGAAAGACTGCACACACAGTGCAATGCCATTTCCATTGCTCCTGAGGGGTCCTCCCACTTTCAATTCAGACAGACAGTCTCGAGCCTTACATATAAAGAAGGACCTGCATGACTGTTAATGTCTTGGCACCTAAATTGTTTGAGGTATTATGTCTCAAAATAATATTTGCTATTAGGTGGTTATAGTATTTGACAGTATATTTCAATATTAAAGGTATTTCTCCTGTATCATCCCCTCATTTTTATGTGAAAATGAAGTGTTTTCCATACCTTTCTTTGAAACGATGTTCTTGCTTATATTTTAAGTTTTGATCACTAGAAAGCATTATTTTTCTCCAGTTTGCCTGTTGGTTACTATATTAAGTTCTGAAAGCATGGATCATCTTCAACATATTTTAAACTACCACATTTATTAAAATACACTGTAAATGAAACTAGCAGTCATTTAGCTCTAATAACTCTTCAGTGAGTTGTAATTTACACTGATTAGGTTATTACTAAGGGTATTCTCGTTCTAGAGA